TATCGCTTCTCATGCAGTATCTGTTGATGATTATGGAGGAGAGGGAAGGAGAAGGACAAAAGCCACTGCAGTTAACGATGAGAATATCAATGTCATGAGGAGAGAGATGGGTTTTGGTTAAAAGATCATCCATGACAGGAAATAGCACCATATGGACTTCATTAATGGATTCCTGTTGATGGGTTTTGGGTGGAATGAAATGCAGAGCAGGAGGGAGACATGTTTCTTCACTCTGTCCAGAAGATTTGAGAGTCTTAGCCATGAAATTGAGACTCTCGCTGTCAAAAATACCCATCAACGTGGCATTTTCAAGGAAAAAAGAGAAGGGAATCCTGCAGAAGCTTGGTGGTCTAAGGCATGAGAAGTCAACTAAATAGACTGGACGAGGAGCCTTCAGGATGGAATGCTTAATGATGATGAAGACAACATAACAAGAAAGTAGGAGAAAGATATGACAAATGGGATTCCATCCTTTTAGGAAAATATAAGTTTTAACGAAAATTATGGGAATGAGAACGAAAAAGGTTTGAAGTTGGAAGAGAGTCCCGCGAAGATGTGCCAATAATTGTTTGGAATGGAGGATATTGTCGCCATGGCTGAACTTAGGAGCAGATTCCATTGATTGGTTATGGAGCAGAGGTGCGGTGGAGATGGAGAAATGGGAATCTGAATGGCATGCAGGTATGCACTTTGAGTTTGAAATGTACTGAGCTCTTACTGCATTATATATAGAAAATAAATGATAGTACTAAAAGCAGTAGGTGAAGAAAGAATAAACATATAATTGTAAAGTTACTATAGGGAAACCAGAGGGACCATAAAGGAGTTAGAGTCGAATCAACCTCGTCATTCACAAACTTGTTGGAGAGTAGAGCAGATCTAAAGTTCACTTAACCATTAAGTTTGTTTGCATGCATAGGGCTTGTTTAGTATAAATTCAATGCTTTGAGAAGCTATAGAAAGAATACTTAAATAGCAGAGGGTTCAACCGACAGCCTGAAGGTTTAAAAATGTTCATTCCCTCGTTAGTTGCCTTTATTTTTTTGTTGAAACATGTGTAGATTAGTAAACATCCAAATTTATCTGGTTAGCCTTTTGAATTCACTAGAAATTAAGCTTAAGTTTAATTTTAGTCATTGTACTAATCTCGGTGGAAATGACAAAAAAAATTTAATCAGTTTTTGCATTAACTGCGACCACTTGCTCAACCTTTATGTGAAATACATTTGAGTTGTATGAACTACAATTTGCTAGACAAGCACCCACTCATTCTTTATCTGTCGTTATATATAGTTAATGCTATCTGTCTATCTATTATCTCTCCCACTGCTCCTTAGTTAATATAGGTCTCCTTAGACGTTGCTCCTTTCATTTAAAAAGACAAGTTGACGCTCTCCATGGTCTCTTGGAGATGCAATAAATGTCACATTGCCCACTGGTCTCTTTAAAAAGAGATGGAGATTTGTGGTATATAGTCAGGATAACATTGTGTAAAGCTAACAAATGTCAAGATATTGTAGAAATATAGAGATATTTGTTATCCTCACCCATAGTATCAAGAATCTTGTGTTAGAGACTTAGTTGTATTAGTGGACCATAAGTGCCAAACAAGAGTAGTGAGCCTAAGAAACAATTGTAGATGATATCTTTTAACAAACATGGTCCGAGACAAGGATTGTTAAGAGTGCAATTAGTAGTTCACACCATCTATCCCATAATGCAACTTGTGGTTGAGCTATATTGAACAAATAGACACAAGTTTGCCCGTAAAAGAAGTAGAAGTTTATATCTACTAATGTTAAGCCTAATTCATTCCTAATACTTGAATTTAGTCAAAATCGTCACTTAGTCCAAGTTTACTTATCTTTCAGTATGACAACATGTGAGATCCCACATCTATTGGGGAGGAGAACGAAACACCCTTTACAAGGGCGTGGAATCTCTCCCTAGGAGATGCATTTTAAAAATCTTGAGGGAAGCCCGAAATAGAAAACCCAAAGAGGACAATATCTGCTAACGGTGGGCTTGGGCTATTACACAACCATTCTAATGCATTTTAACTGAAACCATGAATTATATCATTCATAGGTAGATATATGCATGTAAAAATTAATAAGCATATTGATTATATATAAAGTGTAATTATTCATCTCTATTATTTTTTCTATAGATTCATCTTTAATATTAATTATATATTTCTTCATTTGAAAAAAATCTAAAAACACCATTTACAATTTGGATGCAAAAGTTTAAGACATCTTAATGCTCAAATCTTTCCAAAAGAAACTCAATTGTTCAAATATTATAATATAATTAAAATTTTCAAAGAAACAAACGTAGTTGCCTAAAAGATATATATTTTTTTTATTGTGTGGATGATGGTTTAATAGATATAGTTGGGGAAGTGAGAAGTTGAGAAATTTATTTTTTCCACCAAAGGAGAGGTGGCCAATTAACTTGTGTGAGTCTAGTAGGAAATGGAAGTTATGGCTGATGTCCCCTACATAACGTGGAGGAATGGAGTGAATTCAATTAGGAATTTGACTCAGAAAATTTCTACAATTTATAGTACTACTCTAGTATAAATATTCTTATTTATTGTTTCATCGTACAATGTAATTTAAAAACGAAGAAGGATTCAACAATGTGAAAAGTTTAATAATGAAGTGTTTGAGTGAGCAACACAATGAGTTGAAAACCCTCTCTTTGTGCCCATTGAGAAGCAGAGACATTATTGAATGAAAGAGAGCTTAGGTCAGGTCAGCTGACCTATCTCCATTCTGGATCTCACCCTATTGGACTCCCTTAGTTCTGAGTCATCAATCCAATCCCTATTTTCTCCTTCAAATTCCTGTAAGCTGCATCAATGTGTTAGCTTTTAACATTAGGCTGGTATGGTAGGGGTTTTAAAATTTGTGATATGAGTAGCTCACCCCCACAAGTTTGATGTTCTCAAAACTTGGGTGATTCTAAACTCTCATTCAACTTTTCTATAAACCTCCTAGAAAGTAACACATGGAGGCTATATATGGCTTACCCGTAAAGCCTAAAATGATTGAAGTAATTCATGTGCTTTCTTCGTAGATATTAGTTTAAGGATGATTCTTGATATATTTGTATGTTTTTTTCCCTGAAAAGTTCTTAGACTCTTCTAAGACAGACAATTATCTAACCTCACAACATTTGATGTTCAGAAAACATAAGGTATGATATGTTATCATAAATAGAACCAAGTCTCCCTGACCTTCTTCCGCCGCTGCAAACCATCGCCTTCCTCCCCACAAATTGGTTCCCTCGCTGGTAAGCTGTTTATGTTTTTCTTTTGTTGTTGCAAGTCGTGTTATTTTTGACACCTTCGCAAGAATGATCTTCTCTTATGTTTTGTTTAATACCCTCACAAGGATGTTGAGATTATGTAGTAGCCCATATTCCTCTCTGCTCAACAGATTGGTCTTTAACCATAGAAATCTTTTGTTTGAGGATTTGGTTCTGGAAGTGTTGGAACTAAGTTCAAGGTAGATTTCGAGTTGATTTGAGTGGAGATCTCTTGTTTGAGGTGAGAATTTCTGTGTCATTCTCTATTCAGCTTTACTTTTGTTCTTGGTTTCATGCGTGAAACTGGATTTATGTTTTGTTGTTTAGGAGATGCTTTTATGAAGTTCTATGAATTGAATTTAGTCTAATACACCTTCCTACCTCGGTTGGAGAGTGAAACAAAACATTCTTTGTAATGGTGTGGAAACCTTTCCCTAACAGACATGTTTTAAAACTGTGAGTTTGATATTTAATGAAGCCAAAACAGACGATGCATACTAACAGTGAGATTGGGCTGTTATTAGACATGTTGATTTCCTTTTAATGGGTTAGACTATCAAATTAAAAGTGTTAAATTACACCACTAAATTACTATTCATTACCAAATACCATGCTTATTGGTTCAAATTTAAAGATGAAAGATATTAAATACCAATTTATTTCATATTACAATGGATATCTCTCAAATCTAAGCTTTCACTAATGTCCCAAAGTTCTGCAGCGTTAGGTTGATGGGCCTGAGATGGGATAATGATGGATTACTTGGGCCCATGGATCCTTCTTGGACTCTCCGGAAATGGGCCGGATGCATTCCCAGATCAAACTAACACATTTGGGCCCAGTACCCATCCCAATTTGCCAAACTTTGTCTCCTTTCTCAACTCGTTCTTTTGCTTCGAAGTACGCAAGTTCATACCACAATGCAGAGGAAGACTGGTTCCCAAATCTATGCAGAGTCATCAATGGCGCTTCCAAGTCTTTATCGTTGAGCTTCAGCACTTTCCCGATCGCCCTTATCACTGTACCCCCTGATACCGGCAAGCAAAAATGATTGATCACTGTCTTGAAATTGGGTATGTA